AATGTGTAAACATTGTCTCCTCTTTTAAAAGCTGAAATCTTGTGTCAAACAGTGAAAAAAAATTGTACATTATGACTATAACTAGGCCACAACTGTGCAATAAACTGCCAAACTGGACAATTTCTTTTAGACTGCAATTGAAAGCAGTTTCTCAATGTGACATTTGGATTCCTATGGTTTCTGACTGGTTCTCTCTAGGATCTGACATTTTTCCGTGAATAAATCTTGATGCATTGAAGGAGTAATGAAATATAAAATGAGCATGCAGTACAACTCTTTCGTAGAGTATGGATGCCAGGCAAGAACTAGTATGACATTATGTTGATAAACTTTGCAGATTTAGGGAACATCCGAAATGATTCGACTTGGAAAATGCAATGTTGATGAGAATTAGCTTGAATGCAGAATGTTTTAACATGAAATTTGGCTTCAATTATACCTGTCTCGTGTGGTTTATTTCTGTGTCCTTACAATTAAGAAGTATCCAAGAGACCAGTGCAGTTATTTTAAGTATATTACTATTATTAGTCTTACTAGTAGGGTTTCACTGCTTAAAAATCCTGGACAATTTCTATTTACATGTATTTAGAGCTTTTCCAATAACCAAGTATTCTTGAAATGAAAGGCAAGGCCGCAACAAATGACCTTCTTTGCTCTCAGAATTGGGCAGGAAAATAATAGAGCTGGATGGCAAAATAAATAGGAACAGGCATCCTGTGATAGACCCCAATGCTACCCTATGTGGCTATGAAGAATGAGCCACAACATCAACATAACTAGTAGTCACTTGGCAAGAGATCTGATCTAAATTCTGGTAAGCTTTGACTATGTAACAAGTTTCAGTTGGAAAATCATCATCTGGCTGGTCACGAGCCACTTGGCAGCACATTCAGCTAATGGAATTTAGCTATAAAACATGGTGACTGCACAGCCCAAATGTCAACCATCCGGTGGAAGTAAATGGTGATGTCGCCTGTGGTACATGTGTAATTAGCCTGGGTACCATCCTACTTGTATGCCGGGGCTCCCACACTCGCTTGTAGAGGCTATAATAAGTTAAGTTGTTAGGGAAGCGAGTGTGGGAGCCCCGCATACAAGTAGGATGGTACCCAGGCTAATGTGTAATGGCAGTTGCTAGACAAGGTGATCTGGGCTGAACTCAGAACTATGTGAAGGCAAAGCACTGCCTTTTTCTTAGAGTTAGAGACAACAAATGGACAGAACCCCCAACACAATACCATTATTCAAAACATAACACCTTTACTATTTTGGAATTTGTGCAAGGGTTTGGAAGGACAGGCGTAGACTAAAGAACAGATGTGATCAAGAAGAAATGATAGCAAAATGTGCGCATTAAGTACCCAATTTTTGGATCCTGATTACTTTAGGATAAATCATTTATTATAGCCTCCACCAGGCTTTGGGTCAGCTGGAAAGAGCAGAAATTGGCGAAATAGATAACACGCCAAGGGAGTTGATCTGCTAGAGTGCATTTTGCAAAATATACTATCTAGCGGACCAACTCCTTTGGCATGTTATCTCTATTTGGCCAATTTCAACTCTTTCCAGCCGCTGAAGCCTGGTAAAGGCTACATTTATTACAGAATGGGCCACAGGTGTGTTGGAAAGTTGGAAAGGAACTAATGAATGTAGACAGGAAGTGGCTGCCCTGGGGGCAAAATCTCTTGCGTACTGCAGAGTCCGGTCATGTCAGTAAGCCTGCAGGTAAACATGAATACTGAACACCATGCAAACAAAAGGCAGTAGTTACGTGTCACTTCCATATGTCCACTGAGGGAATTGCTGATGGGTCAGTTTGAGAAGAGACGTGGTTGTTGATGCAATTTTTGTGTTTGAATCAGACACACTTTCACATGCATTAAATCCTGGCAATGTCTCTAGTTTGACAGACAATTCAATAAGGGGCTAACCATTAGATTGTGGGTACCACACCTGGTCATGACTCATGAAGGGTGGAGTTCTCATGAAAGTTCTCATCATTGACATCCGGATCACTTATATACATGTATAATACAAACTATTGTATGATTTTGGTGACATTATCTTTTGAACAAATTTTTTCCTTATAATGTTTCCAGTGATGATGACTGAATATTAGTCTATTCTACAACTCAAAATGGACCATCCCCCATTTTTGTGAACAAAATACATTGTATCATCATGTACAAAGAAATCATGGAGAACAATATCATTGTCAATCAAACCACTGTTGTTTGGTGTCCTGTCTAACCCTTCTATAGCAGTAATGGACAACCCCTAAGTTACCAGTATCTGAGGGCCAAGGGTCTTTTGGCATGGATCCAAAATGGGCCACCCCTCCTGACCCCTGACCTTGCTAGGTGGTTCCCTTGAATAAAAAGTAAACATGATGGAAGAAACACTATCCCTGGTTATTCTACCCCTGCAGTGCGTTTCTCCCTTCATACATTTCAACTATTTCACCCAAGGCTTCTGAAGATTTTTTGGGAATCTTCGTAAAACCATGTAAGACCATAGAACTTCTGGATTGAGAAATGCATGGATCTATTCTTCTTGACTTAATTTTTTTTTTGACACAGTTGTAAAAGAGTAACACCTATAATTATCCCCTGGCTTTTAATAACATAGTATCTATTGATTGGTATGTTACTGTCTGTATGAATAATTTATATATAAACCCCGACTCATGCAAGTGGAATTAGAAAAGTTGTAGACACGAATGTTGTTTTTTTCTGGGATACAGATAGCGCTGATGTTGGTTTTGCCCTGAGGTTAGCATGAACATTGATGTGCCCATATTTACATAGGGGTGAACCAGCATTGATTCTCCAGGAGGGGGTGGGGGGTGGCCTGTGACTGGCTTGAGCGATGACAGATTGGAACAAAAAACAAGGTCTTATGATTATCCATTCCCAGCATGGCAACTGGTTTTATTCAATGCAATTTCAGGAGTTGCCCCAGAAAAGCTTTCTCTTGTTGGTAGATACAAAATATTCATAACTTTCTAGCAAAACTAAACATGTTGTTATTCAACTTATTGACTGGTTTTATAAATGATATATACATTTATGCTCACACAAATTTTGTTGTTATTGATTACTTTATGAATATGAGAACAGAAATTCAATTACTTCCTAATAAGACTACATGTACTATTATAACCCTGACCACTATACAACTCAACACCAACCACATTAAAACATATGGTAATTCCACTAGAGAACGCAGCCAGCTATTAATGGAAAACCATTTGGTCAGGGTTTAAGCCCCCTGCTGAGCCATTGGCAAAGTGACCAGCTAAAGTATGGCAAGGATCAGCCTCCTGGCCAATGGGCAAACACATGGTAGTGGTCTCAAAATTCATTAGCATTCAAAACAACCTACATGCCATAGCAGTTGCTCAATGTCTGATAGGGATTCCTGTATCATAATTAAATGAACTTATGTTTGCTGCATGTAAATTTTACTTAAAAAATAAAGAGTTCAGAGTTAACACAACTGTAGCAACACAAAGCATATAAATTCAAAGTGTGACAAGCAAACTTAAAAACACTGAAAATTTCAAAATTCACTGTGTGCAATATTAGTAATCAAACACAAAACAAATACAGACTCTTGGAGCCTCCATGGAGAGAAATGCATAAACAAAAGCAAAAATAATAAACCATTTGTAGGTACGTATCTAATGTCAGACTATGGCTTCCTTTCAACAATTTGGCACTACGCACTCCCAAATCAAGGATTTTATCTTGTAATAAAATTTCCCTTGCAAAGTTATTGTATTAAATTCAAAATACATCTAAAAGGGAGAGATGAAAATAACCAGTGGGTAATTTTATTGTATTACATCACATTTTTAGTAACCTGTTATTCATTTATGTCAATGAATTAGTTATAGAGGCAACAACAATCTCATTACCTTTTTTTGTATAAACAAACATTAATAACATCCTGTAATTTTCAGAATATAACCAAGGAGTAAACCTTAATACATGTATAACTAATGTTTCGGGAACGGGTTTTCTGCGCGTGAAGAATTTGCGCGTGAAAAATAAAAGTCTTAGAAATATGTTAGAAAATATGCAGTACCAAATTCTTAGGCAGGAAAATGTTGTCCTCTGGTATAATTTTCCCTCTGTTAGCCAAAATTTTTGTTTGAAAATGTTGGTCCCTTGGGAATAAGCTAATTTGCATAATTTCCATAAAACCTGACCTTTTGAAAATCACTTGAATTTGTAAGAAATACATGGAAAAGTTACTAGTATGAGGTTTAGGATGGTAAAATGTAACAATCTGAAGCTTTTCTCCATTCTAGAAGTTTGATTTCATGCTTTCTTAAACAAATTCTTTCACGCGCAAATTTCAACCTTTTTTGCGCGTGAAAACTTTACCTTTCAAAATAACCTGAAATCACAAAAAAATGGACAAAACAAGGGTATGTAGTCTAGAATGCAAGCAAAATGATGTTAAATTTTTATTTTCTTGTCTTTTTTCCAACTTTTAGGCTTAAAACAGCAAAAAGTTTTCAAATCTCTTGGGAGTCAGCTAATTTGCATATCTTCATGCGCAGATTCTTCACGCGCAAGTTTTTCACGCGCAAATTTTTCACGCGCACAAAACCCCATCTCAATGTTTCAGATAGATTATGGTATTAGTTTTCCTACAAACTCATTGTATTGATAGTTCTTATCTTGATCAAACTTTTCATGCATAATTTCATGGATAATAAAAACTAAATCTGCACAGCAGAGATCAAGTAAACTTTGTGTGACAACTTTCTGGTACTAGTCAGTAGCACTGGGTTTTCCTTCATCCCCTTTATTCTGGCCCTCTTCATTGTCCTCATCCCCAGGGTCCTTTTCTATTGTTTCTCCTGTTGCCAGGGAAAACAACTGGTCAGCAAACCTGACCGCATCGTTTGCTCCCTCACATGCCTTCATCCACGGGGGTGGTACATGCTCTATCCCATAATAC